TTGCCAGTGCTCAGAGGAAGAGGGGATGGCGTTTATGTAAATCCGGGCAGCCTCTCTTTGTAGAGGGTGATTATCACCCAGCTCTCTAAGCCATCCTTCCAGGCTCCACGGCCAGGCTGACCTGGGTGGGAATGCGGGTCAGTAAGGTCGAATCCACTCCTTCCCTGCCCATTCCACTCCCAACCCCCGTGGCCACCGAAGGAGGCTCCCCGGCACCTTAAGTAGCTCTTGGTGCGGCCGTGAGTCCCTCGGGCCAGTCTTAGCCGCTCTGGGCTCTGGCCTGATCTGGCCGCCTGGGGAGTGCGGGTTGAGGGGTGCGAGCACAGTAGGGCTCAGCACACTGGCCCTGCAGGGAAACTCTGGGATTCCCCAAAGGAGGTCCAGGTCTCAGGACCAAAGTCCTTGACTCCCAACCTGATGACTGACTGCCTCCTCTTCATTCCGCATAGGCAGTGCACATGCGCGTGTGCCTGGGTGCGCAGGAATGTGCGTCCCCTGAGTGGCTGTGTGCACACGGTGAGTCTGGTCTTGAGTAAATGTGGATATGCTTGGTGAGCTTGCTACCACAGGACCGTTTTTCTGGATGCGTGTACCCAGTGTGAGGACGTTCGTGTACTAGTAGATGGTCTGCAGTGTGTGCCATGAGTACACTTGTGATATTGTCTATATAGGGGTGCGTGTATGTGGCGTGAGGGGCGGGAAGGGGTGGTGACAGCCTGGAGAGGTTCCCCAGAGGGAGAAGCGCTCCAGACTTCACGGATTTGGGGGCCGAGGGATGAGATGGCAGCTGCAGCACGAGGCCCAGGAGGGCGCAGGAGCCAGGCTGCATCTTCCAGGCCTGGGGGAGGCGGGGCGAGGCGGGGAGGCGGGGAGCTATCTTGCCCAACGTGGCCCCTACTCTCCGTGCCGTCCCGCGGGTCAAGCTACCTCCCCTCTCAGCCGCGGGAGGCTGCCTCGACCCACCCGGGGAAACGGAAAGTACCCAAAAGGCACCCACGTGAAAGGCACCCACGACCGGCTTTGTGACTTAGTGGGAGACGAGGCCGCGGAAAGGCCGCGGGACGAGCAGAGACTGCACGTCCTCGCCCGGGCCGTCCTTTCTCTGCCCGAGGGAGCTTGGGATTCAGATCCTCCGCGGCCCTCCAGGCCCGGTGCTGCGGGGACTCCGCCGGCCGCCGGAGCAGCTCCCGACCTCGGTCCCTCCGGGTGAAAGCGCGAGCGGGACGCGGCTGCTGGGCAACCCCTCCCCGGGGCGCGTCCCACTCCCCAGCGGCCTCTGTAGGACGAACTTTGCCTCCCACTTGGCTGCGGCGTAAAGGAATCGCGGCCTGTCTGTGCGCGGTGGCTGTGGGTGTCCGCGTGGGAAGGAGCAGCGTTCGCACACTCTCGCCGGTCTCCCTGCGTCTGCTCCCCAGGCGCCGCGAAC